CACGGCCATACAAGGGAAAACGCTATGGTTTTCCCTTGTATGGTTGTGGCCCCACCCCCAGCGTGCCCAGCGTCATGACGTCACTTCCCTGTGATGTGCATGCGGCGCGCGCGTGCACGCTCCGGGAGCTGCGCAGGAGTCCCCCGCCGGAGAGGTGAGTAACATTTGGCAACCATATTCCTATACAGAGTTCTTACCCAGGTCAATGTGAAAAAAATAAGGCTATATTACACTGGCAGTGCAGGGAGTGGATTTTTTAAAAAATGACCAAGTTTCCATTTTCCTAAGTTTTCATTTACATAGATAGCAGCATGTTTCTGTAAACCTGTAACTGGACATTGTAATCACAGAGTTTACCTCCAAGTAGTCTTGGCTGCAATTATCATGGTGTTCAAGCCTCAGCGTTCCAAAGGCAAAAGTGATAAGAAGACCAGGATTGGTTGAGACGATCCAATAACAATCCCTATTGGGAGGATAGTTCCCTGGGTAGCCAGGTGAGTTAATTGAGCCATAAGTACTTGTTAGTTCACCACCACATTCTAAACAGAAAGACAGAAAAAGACCGCTTCTTAATTAATTGATATTTCCACCAACTATATACTATGTGCTATAGCTAGACCTGCTAAGGAACTCAACTTTTGTTTCACCTACATTTTGACATATAAATATTGGGACAATATGAATGGGTATCAGATTTAGGCACATAGTCAAGACTAAATTCCACTTAGAGCCATGAGACATCAGTTAGTCACAGCTAAAATGCATGTACAAAGGTACCAGTGAGAGAGTGCTGGAGGGAGCTTTGCTGGTTTGTAAGCATATGAGCTTCTGTTTCAAAGCCCTAAAGGGGGGGGGTGTCCATGTTTCAGCCTGGTGGTTAGGCTTACCAGGTCTCCCACTGGTGGGAAACCTCCCACCCCTCACCCACTGCACCCACCACCACTCAGCAGGATGATGGGGGGAAATGGGGGAAACAGTAATGTCACTTCTGGCTTAAACCCTTTATGGTAAGTCTTGGGGGGATCCAGTTTGGTGTAATGGTTAAGTGTGCGGACTCTAATCTGGGAGAACCGGGTTTGATTCCCCACTCCTCCACTTGCACCTGCTGATGTGACCTTGGGTCAGTCACAAGCTCTGGTACAGCTGTCCTTGAAAAAGAGCAGTTTGTGTCAGAGTTCTCTCAGCCCCACCCACCTCACAGGGTGTCTGTTGTGGGGAGGGGAAGGGAAAGGAGTTTGTAAGCCACTCTGAGACACCTTTGGGTAGTGAAGGGCGGGGTATAAATCCAATCTCTTCTTCTTCTTCTTCCTAAATGGCCATGCCGACATGGTGATGTAACTTCTGGGTTTATGCTCCCCCCCCCATCTCCTCCTCCTCTCATCAACTTGGCTGGCACCCCAATTGTTGGTGTTCAAATAAGAAGGGCACTACTCTCAAATAGTGTGGCACCCCCAGAGCAAGATCCTACTCAAATAGCCAAAGCAATCAGATTGCTGGGTGTTTTTTAAAAAATAAGATAAAGGGTGAATAGATAGCCTGATACGTGGTGCTTTAAAATAGAAAAGGGAATAGGTCATACGACGTATAGTAGAGATGTTGGGTGCCTCCCTATTTTAGCTCTTTGGCACAGTAATCTGAATAAAAGTAAATATGGTTGGGGTCAGTGTCCCCTCTAAGCGGTGTGCATGAGCGGCTGCTCATTAACACAGGAAGCTTCACACAGCAGCAGATCTGCAGCCACGCAGGGTCTTGCCCTGCCCATTTTATCTGCTTAGGATGTCAATGTCTGGCATCCAGAAGATTTTACTGTATTTCAGTGAAAGGACAGAGATTGACTGAACATAGCTTCCCATAGAACATGCTGAAAACCTACACTGACGGTAGTAATAAAGTTAAGCTGATTGCCTGCTGGTATCTGACTGAGGAAGCCTGCAAGCCATGGCCTGAGAGATCTTCTTAAATCTTGGAATATCCAGCATGATGAAGACTCTTGGTGGGCTCAAATGCATGCACAATGTGTTTTGACATTATGGCTGGCTCTAAGAAAAGGTATTACATGGATTTCATTCTTGGTTTTGGATTTTGCATGGACCAATATGGGAGTATGACTTTTTCTACCCAGAATATGGCCACTGACTCAGTACTGTGTCCTAAGGACACGGTGTCATCAGAAGAAGAGCATGACTGTTGTCTATCATGCAACCTACAAAGTCAGCAGAAAGCTGTGATCATGCCATGGATAGAAAACCTGCTGTGACCTTTTTAAAATATATTGCATCTGTTTTCAGTGTAAATGTTATTCTATTGCTGTCCCTGCAATATAGTTGTAACTAATTTTGGTGCACTGTGACAACCAATCTTCTATCCTGCCTTGTATGAAAAGATATAAAAAGAACAACCCCAACCCCTTTTAGTCATAAACTTCCTTGTGATTCATAAACCGAAATGGCCAGAAAAAATGCTGACAACATCAAAAGGGTTTCCCACAGAGGAAATCTGTAACATGAGAAGAATCCCTGAGAGATTGTGGTTTGGGTTTGGGTTTGGAATTGTTCAGCTATGAAATGATATTAGAAATATCAGTTGTCTAAAAACAAACACATTATCAAAATGTGATTAATGCTGCTTTTAGCTGTACTGAATTCATGGGTCTAAGCTGGCATGTTTCAGCTCTTGATCCTTTCAAAGATGTCTAGGGAAATTACTGCCCATTTTATACAACTTAGTCATACCAGGTTGCTGAGATTCCCAATGAATTGTAAACCCTCCTGAGTTAACCGAGTGGTCAGAGCGAAACCAGATATACAAGGAATTATGACTGCTGAAAAGTTCGTCCGGGTGAGATGACCCACAGTATTTTCCCAGCATTTGGGCTGATGATGCCTCTCCGTCATGTATCTGGAGATAGTCAGACCTACAGCCACTGCTCGTCTGCAGTTGGAAGAATGGGAAAGTGATACGCAGGATCTAATAGGAAAGAGCAAAGAGCCATTTAATTCCTTTGTTTTTTCTATCTGTGCCTCTCAGTTAAACAATGATTAGAGACTGTTTATACTAGTACTGTATGCTGATAACACCTGTCTACATAATCCTACATTTGTCAGAAAATGAAGAGAGACACTATAATTTCCTGAGAAAGGCCAGAGTGGGCAGAGAGATTAACTAATACTGAAGGCTAAAGGAAAAGAAAATTTTAAAAAAGAATACCAAATATGCAGAACAAAATTTGAGGTATACCTTGAATAAAACTTCTTGGTCTGTGCCATTGAACTCGAATTTTGTTCTGTTGCTTCAGACTAACACAGCTACCCACCTGAATCTACCAAATATGCAAACTGGGTAAAGAAATCCAGTTCAATATCTTCCTAATTATTTCAGTAACATGATAACGTTGAGTAATGTTGATGTTTCTATAAAGTTACTTAATAGCTGGGCACAATAACTACTTCTGCAGGCTCAGAGCCTAAAAAACTATCCTATATCTGCAGACTTATAGCCTAAAAGACTATCCCTGCTATCCCATTTCCTCAACAGAGATGCTGAAGACTGGGGAAATATTTCCCTGCAGTATTGTCATAAGCCATTTTTGGACATGGGAAACCTGGATTCAAATCTAACTAGTATGTTTTTATCCAGTCCTTGCTTCATTGAGAACTTAGGGTGGCATGCATTGTTTTCCCTTTACCATTTTGGCCTCACAAGAATTGTGTGAGGGAAAAGTAGGATTGTGTGCATGCAACTGACCCAAGGTTACCCACAGTTCCATAGTACAGTGTGGAATTCAGCCAGTATGGTGTAGTGGTTAGTATGTTGGACTAGGATCCAGGAGAGCCAGGTTTGTATCCTTGCTCTGCCCTGAAAGCTTGCTGGGTGACCTTGGTTAGGTTGCACACTCTCAGCTTAATTTACCACACATGGGTTTTGTGAGGATTAAAATGGAGGAGAAGGGAACCATGTAACCTACTTTGGATCCCCACTGGGGAGAAAGGTGGGGTATAAATGAAGTAGATAAATTCATAAAAATTAACTGTGGTCCCCCAGATTTCTAACCACTACATTGGACTGGCTTCACTTTCTTCAGTCTCCCCTATGGGGTCTCTGATATTCTCTCATATCCAGTTCAGACACTATGTAAATGGTGGCTTCCCTGAGCAACAAATAATTGCTCAGGCAAGTAGTCTTACTCATATGGGCAGTACAGCATGGAATAAGAGTATGGGTAGAAGACTCTATACAGTGACAACTCCCAAGGTAAGGATGAGGAAATTGCTGCTCATGGGAGATACTTCCTGAGGAAATATTTCATTTATTTCCATATGTCAAGTTCCCATGCTGCTGCAAAGCTTTGGAGCGTGAGCTGAGTGGTACCAATGCAAATTTGCTATCCGAGGGGGGGGGGATCAGAATCTGGGGGTATGGGGAAGGAAAGGGAATTCAAGTCTATCCTGTCAATTCACATCTCAGCATCTCCAAATATGAGCTGGCCTTTTGTGGCTGACCTAGGATTTGGATCAGATATTTCAGCATCAGCATAGAAGTTAACCCAAAAAAAAAATCAAAGTGAATCCTGGATAGCTTTTGCCTCTATTTGTAGCTAGTCAAGTGACTTCACCTGCCACCTCTTCCCCATCCCCAGAAACCAATTTCATACTCTACATTTCTCTTAAAGAGCCCATTTATCAATAATGCTTGCCATTAAAGCAAATAGCCACTCTATTCCATCTCATGCATTCACAATTAAGACAACTTGTGATTCTCTTATGGAATCCTTTGGCTACTGGCTTTCATTTCCAGGGCAACACCACTTACCTTGTCATGAGTAGTCCGAATGACCCAAGCACAGCTGACTCGGTGATCATATGTCCTGTTGCCTGGATTATTTGGGTAGCTGAATGAGCCTGAGGGGTTGGAAAGAAAACCTCCACAAACTGCAGGCATGGAAAAGAAAGAAATGCACTAATTACAGCTGTCCCCCAATGGAAGCGAAGAGCATGAAACACTAATATAATTTCATTAAAGTGAAATTTAAGACCTGAAAGGGACAGATATTTATGTGAAAGGATTTCAGAGATCTCTTTGATTTGGGGCTGAGGGCCTTAAGAAATGCCACAGTGAATGAACACCTACAGGAGATATAACAAAAGTTTAAAAACCGAGAAAATACAGAAATTCCCTACTTGCTAGGCAAAACTACCTCTATCCCAACAGATTAGCAAGGAGCAGCAACCCAGTAAAAACTTACAGTAGTCAAATCACCTAAAATTTTAACTGTACCTAATAATCATAAAGCAATCTAAGGTAATAAATGAAAATGGCAATAGGTGAAAGTAATGGAGAATGTAGCATTACAGCCTCTGTTAGGCATGGTGGAGTCTCCTAGTTTATTGGTACAATCAAACCTGTTCAGGAGGGCATTTGAGTGCGGCAAAGAGTGCTTAAATCACATCTGGTTTTGTCTTAACAGGAATATTTAATGATGATGTGGAAACCTCAAGGAAACCTTTGCCTGCTCTTCCACAATGTGAAACGCCCACTGGCAATATAAGACCAAGGAACTAGTCTCTGAATGGTGGATGAGAAAAGAAGGCCATGGCTCAGTGACAGAGCATCTGCTTGGCATGCAGAAGGTCTCCGGTCCGATTCCCAGTAACTTCGGTTAAAAGGACCAGGCAGTAGGTGATGTGAAAGACCCCTGCCTGAGACCCTGGAAAGCGTCTGCCAGTCTGACTACTGACATTGATAGAGTCCAGTGCTCTGATTCAGCATAAGGCACATTCATGTGTTCAAAGGCTGGCCATATTCGGGGCAGGAGTCTAAAATAGGGTAGTTTTGACAGACACTGCACAGAAATTAAACTGTCTTGGCCAGAAGACTATTGTTCTATTTATATTTTGCTTTGTGTTGCTCATAGGCTTCCAGATAGACTCTAATTCCACATGAAGATAGAGTTTGGGGTAAACCATTATTGCTAAAATTGCTAAGCACATCCTCTGGAATGATAGGGCTGGTGATCTGCAGCCAAACAAGAGATCACGTGGGCAAGCAGAGATAGGTAGGCTAAAAGCTGTTCAGTTTGTGACTATGTAGCTGCAGTACTACTCTCAGACAATGGTGGCACTGTTGTTCAGCAGAGCTGTATCTTCCTTAGATGAGCGTGAGACACCTACGGCTAAACTTTCCAGTTCAAAATAACTGGCATCTGGTGCACTGTTCCTTTACCTTGCTGGGGTCTCTGGCATTCAGGTCCAGTCCAAGTGTTTGTACATTCACAAGAGTAGCCATTCACCCCATCGATGCAGGTTCCCCCATTTTGACAAGGATTGCTGGAACACTCATCAATATTTTCTGTACAGTTGGCACTAGTCCAGCCAGGATGACATAAACAGTAGTAGCCAGAGAGTGTATCCTGTAGACCCCCACAAAGAAAACCAGAAACTCAACAAAAACCTATTAACACGATCTAGTCTGTGATAATCCCCAGGTGTTCTAGCCTGGTGAGCCGGTCTTCTGTGCACATTGCTGTGGGCTAAATTCAACCAGATCTGACTAATGGAACACCACAGCAAACTAACCTAACATATGGTTTACACAGTGGTTTGGCAAAAATCCAATCTGCTCTGAAGTCCTCAATAAGTTCTTCTGATCTTAATGGCATAAACAAATACTTCATTTGATCCAGTCACAATTCTGTATTTTATTTAATGATTCATTCTAAGTCAATCTTGGCCTTTTAAACACAGCATCCAACACTTACAAGGCATTGTCCATTTAGACAAGGGTTTCGATTTTGACAGGTATGGCTGAGCACAACACATCCATTTGAGCCATAGCCAGTGCCAGTGTATCCAGCCGGGCAGACACAGTTAGGAATAGGGCCTGCAGAAGAGGAGCCACAATATACATAGCCTTGGTTATGAATTGCATTATCCATGTCATCCTAAACAGCTGCTTCAACAACCACAGGACAGATCTGGAAGGGTTTAAAGCCACGCTCTGCAAATCACTTATAATGCAATATTCTTAAGTCACTTTAATCTAGATAATGAGTAAGAAATCAAAGTGCTCAAAATGGCATCATTGTGTGCTTAATTTCTGTTTTTAATGAAGGAAAGCAAAAAAAAAATTAGACTCTTAAGGTAGGCAATACTGTGTGGAAATTCAAGCAAAACCATTCTCATCATTAAACCCCCCAAATGCAGAGTTTGAGATGAAATTATCTTGACCACTTGCCTGCATATAAAAACATATTTACTAAAACACAGTGACAAGAACTGAACAGGATAACTTTATGTGAAGCCTGATTCAAATAAAAACTCTTTATTTTGCTACTGTGCAACTGTAAGGTGTCTGTTATCAGCAGCTCACATTGTTATTAAACATTGTCCATTTAGAAGAGGGTTTTGATTTGGGTAGATATGGCTAAGCATGACACATCCATTTGAAAGTTCAGGCAGCACATGCCCCAGATGCAAGAGTGGGGTCTACAACAGAAGGGAGAGAGAAATAAAGCGGCAGGCTCAGGCAGACAGGGAAGAGACAGGAACAGCAGCGTGGAAGCAACTGGAAAGCTGGCTTTCTCTGTCAGCTGATTCCCTTGGCCCTGAGAGAGGTCGCCTCATATATTATAGCCTGCTCGCTAATATAGGCCTGCCCAGACAAGGCAGTGGTGCCAGAAATGGATGTGGCTAGAGGGATAGAGGAAAGAGCTTGAGAGCTCTCCCAGTTCAGAGAGGAAACTAGGAGTCTTGGAACTCAGTGGAAATAACTGTTTTCCCCATAGCTAAGGCCAAAGGGGCCTTTGGTTTACCCACCTCCGTTTTCACACGTATATTGCGTGTAAACGTGCTATCAAGTTAAAGCAAAGGAACTCCTCAGCCTGGGACTTCTGAAGAATTCTTTTGTGGAGGGCTTGTAATTCCTTGACTCTCTGAGGGCTCCCTGAGAACCACACTCACACAAAACACACTTCTAACTGTTTTGAGGAATGGTATTACCTGATCTACTGGTACATGCAGCAAGTGGATGACAACCTCCGTTGTTTACTGAGCAAATATCAACCTGGGTGCACACTTTTCCATCGCCTTGGTAGCCTAGTTAAAGTAAAAGTTACAAGTGTCATCTGACAGGGAAGCAAGTATGAAGAGCTCTGTTTTCATTGCAATGCAGTGAAAAGACCAAAGAGAAGAGTGGTGATGGAAGCCCTCCTCTTTGCCAGAAGCAAATTCCTTTGCTGTTCTATCATCTTAGGAAGCATCACACTAATCTCGCTGTCATCAGAATAAGCCATTTATATTAACTGGGTATATAAATTAGTGTGAACTTTGGTGATCAGAACCAAGTCTTATGACTATACTGATGGCTGCACTTTGTTCTTCCACAGCTTCCCTGGATTTCTGCCACATGATTGCAAGATTCACTCCTGAAACAACCCAAGAACACCACAGATAGCACATACACAGCCAGTGCCGTCCCATCGGCACTGGCTCTAGGTGGAGTGAGTCCCAGATCAAGTTCAAGGTTCTGGTATTAACCTTTACGGCCCTAAATGGTCTGGGACCCCACGTCTCTTCAGGACTGTTCTCTGGTATACAGCCCCTGAAGAGCACTATGCTCTGCAGAGAAGGACCTACAGGTGACACACACACCCCAGCCTGAAAGACATCCAGCTGTCCTCAACCAGAGCCAGGGCCTTTTTGGCCCTGGCCCCAACCTGATGGAACTCTCTGCCAAATAACATCTACGCCCTGTGGGATTTAATGCAGTTCTGCAGGTCTTGGAAGGCAAAGATGTCCTGCCAGGCATTTGGTTGAGGACAGCAATGGGTTCTACCTTGCCTGGCACTCCCCCCTCCCCCGTTTTTCTGCCTCCCCTGTGAAGCAGTGGAGCAATCTGAGGTTTTTAGTGCTGTCTGGTAATGTTTTAGCTGTGCATTATTTCACTGTTTTGAACTGTTTTTAGTACTGTGTTTTATTGTTGTTCACCACCCTAAACACGTGTATAGAGGAGAGGGTGGTCTAAAAGCCTAATCTATAAATAAATAAACAAACCAAAACAACAAAAAGTTTGTTGTCATGCTGCTTCAGAAGTTGATGCAAGCACCAATACACTGCACTCACGAAGATCGAGGTCTGACAAAACAGAGAAATAAAGTATCAAGTGAAACACTGATATTCTCCTTCAACCTTGACTGACCGTAGTGTTGCCAACTCTGGGTTGGGGAATTCCTGGCAATTTGGGGGTAAAGCCTGGGGAGGACAAGGTATGAAGTCATGGAGTCCACCCTCGAAAGCAGCCATTTGCTCCAGGGAAACTGATCTCTTGTAATTCCAGGAAATCTCCAGCCCCCACCAGGAGGTTGGCAACCCGACTGATGCTCACAGATTACAAAGGCCAGGTGGTGCATGTACCTCTATGCAGCAAAATGAAGCCAAATGTTTAAATATACAGGCCCTTCTTTTGTAGTAGTAGCCTGGCCCTCAAGTTCTGCTTCCACTGCAACAACATACGAGATCTAATGTCTTTTGCTGACAGAGTTAAAGAGTCTTCACCCTTACTGTGAGCAATTACTATAATGCACTTAATTTGATGAAAGCTTTGTGTTGTTGTTTTTAAAAACTCTTCAGAATTCCACACAGTAAGGCTATCACAGCAGCCCCCATCTTCCCCCAAGTCCTAGTATCACACAACAAGAAGTGCTCTTACTGTATCAGAATCAAAAGACAAATCACAAGGCCACTGCAGTATTAGTGCTGGCACCAGAATCGCCAGCTCTGGCTCAGGAAATCCTTGGAGCTTTGGGAGTGATGTTTGGGACAGGAAAAGTTTGGGAAAGGGAAGGAGCTCACTGGGAATCGGATGTCAGTCAGCCCACCCTCATAAGCTGCCCTTTCCTCCAGGGGAACTGATGACTGTAACATAGAGATCAGTTGTTAACACAGAGCTCAGTCGTAAATCAGTCGGCAGACCTAGCTGACATATACTCCGGTTTATTCAGATTAGTATCTGAGAGTTCCAAGGAGGCCCTCTAGAAACAAAGAGTTCCAAAGGAAAAAGAGAGAGAGCAAAACTCTCACAGTTGCTGGAAAGTTAAACTGGCTTCCAACAAAAATCTAGTGGACAGAAAAGCCTGTTAGAGGGGAAACCATTCTGTGTAGGCCATCACTAGGCACTTGGCTTAACTGCCTAGGAGACATTTGGGGAGGGGCAGGGGAGCCAAGGGATGCACCAGGACACTAGCCAAGGCTGATAAGGCCCTGGATGTGGTAGCAGCAGATAGTCATATACATCCTCCACAGCCCCAGTGAAACTATCAGAATAGAAAAGGTCCTTCAAAGCAGTTTAGACAAATCCTTGCCCTTTCTCTGCAGCTAGGCTCCATACCATTCAAATTAAATGTGCCACAAGCTGCCAAAAACATGATATGCCTTAACCAATTTCTAAACTGTTAGCAAACGTCATCAAAGTGCTCCATCACATCTCTCGCATTTATCGTACAAATGCTAAACAAACTGACAGCTCAGGCACATTCATGCAGTCCAATGGGAATTATTTCCCACTATGTGTGCACAGAATTGTAGGCATGCCCTCCAGTGTTCCCTCTAAGCTGAGTTAGTGTGAGCTAGCTCACAGAATTTTAGCCTCCAGCTCATAGATTTTTGACTTAGCTTAGGGAGGATGACTCCAGAGCAAGCTAATTTATGCAATAGCCAAATCATTCGCTCACAACTTTAATGCCAGCAACTCACAAAGTAGAAATTATGCTCACAAGACTCCACAGCTTAGAGGGAACATTGATTATGGTCCCAGGTGGCTAAAGAAAGTGAGCATGCTGTTAAACAAAGGTGAAAAGATCACCATATGATAAGGTGGATCCAACCATCCTCCAAGCAATCTTCCTCCACCCTAAGGAGCCTTCCTCTAATTTAAGTGGCTCTTCTTCCAGTGGAAGTTCCATGTATGTTAGAGGAAGGGCCATAGGCTGGAGGAGGACTTCAAACTTTGCTCAGCAGAGCGGTAACATAAGGAAAAAATCCACCTCGCCCTAAGCTGGAAGAAAATTCCTTCATTTTCAAGTATGATGACTGGTTTACACCTGAGTTTAATACATGCCCTTGAGCTACACTAAAAAAAAATTTAATTATAGTATAACTATATAAAGTCAACCAGGTTTTACAGGCAGGTCAAACAAAATCTATTGCACCCTTCCATTGGCCACCATCCAGTGAGAATGGAGTCATGTCTATAAAAATATGCACTGCACCTGATCATGGCAATCCACAGTTAGCTCACTGTTTACCTGGTGGACAATGACTGCAGTAGAAGGACCCCATTGTATTGATACACTGAACCAATGGGGTGGTTGAACAGCCTCCATTATCAGTCATACATTCGTTAATATCTTGGCAGCTGTAGCCATTTCCTTGCCAACCTGTAGAAAGATGGGTGACAAAAGAAAAAAGAAAAGAAAACAAGAGGGTGATGTTACTAAACCAGACAGAAAATTTGCCACTAATATTCCTTCCCATTCTCAAGTATTAACTCATGCAATTCACTGTCACAGAATGTGGGAAAGATCACTGGCTTAGATGGCTTTAAAATGAGATTAGAAAAAAAATCACAGAGAACTATCATTGGCTATTAGCCAAGCTAAGCATCCAGGTTCGGGGGAGACTGCCGGTTGATGAGAGACAGTGGTAAGGGACAACGGTTGGCTTTGTGCCCTGGTTGTGGACATCCTATCTCACTGGCCTATCCACTGAGGGAAACTAGACGCTGAGCTAGATGGACCTTGACTCTATTCCTGTTAGATTGATTATAGTGGTGTAGAATTTACATAGGGAAGGGCTGGTGGTACAAATTAATATGCAAGCCCAACTGCTCTACCAACAATCCATAACCTCCAGAGAATCTTATTTAGAGCTTTCTCAACAGATCTGAACTTTCTTGTTTCAGTTTCAATCCCTGTATAATGTATACATGGTATAAAAAGAAATGTCAAACTCAGCAGGAGCAAAAGGGGGAAATGAAAATAAAAGAAACAGGGCAATTTGTACATCCCTATTTCCAGATCGGTTGCCCTGATCTGGATAGCCCAGGCTAGCCCAATCTTGCCAGATCTCAGAAACTAAGCAGGGCCAGCCTTGGTCAGTATTTAGAAGACGTGGAAGCAGGCAATGGCAAACCACCTCTGAATGTCTCTGTACTTCTTTTTGTATGACTGGTCTAAGGACTGTAGAAATAAACTGACTGACTGAATGCCTCTTGCCCTGAAAACCCCACGGAGTCATCGTAAGTCAGCTGTGACTTGATGGCAAAAAAAGCCCAAACTAGGATTGCTTAAACACCTACCCGTTTGTCTCACAGCCTTTTCACCACTTTCAATCAGGGGGATAACTGAATGACAAACTTTGTTTGTACCATTTGGCTATGTAGCAGGAAATTGGAAGCCGACTTCCAGCTAATCCTTATCAGCTGGGAGTCAGCTTCAGCTCTCTTGCTGGGGCAACTTCACTGGGTTCCAGTGTTGCTGCAACCCAGGGAAGTTGGGGGGAGGAGGAATCAGAAGCCAGCCACAGCTGATTTCAAGGGTCAACAGAGACTCAGCTTCCGATGTCCCAGCCCTGGAATCTTTGCTTCCTATCAGCCAGCTGCTGGGACATAGCAAAGTGGGCTTTTGGGGGGAGGGGTAGAAACTGATCAGGGTCAAGACTCTGCTTCTGAACCTCCATCTGGGGTGAGGGTGGAGTCTGCTGCTAGGGGACTGGGGCATAGGAAACTATGGTGAACCTGTCACATAGATGCCTTCTTGCCACTGTGCTGTATTAGCAGCTGCAACAGTAATGGGGAAACTACACATGTCTGTCCCCATTGGGATAATAACTCAGCTGTGTGTTAGCCTTCCCAAAATACAGAGATTTGGAGGAAAGGCAGGTTGTATCAGAAACTTGCAGGAGGGTCCATTCTATACAGTTTTGAACCTGTGCCTGACATTTCCCCCAAAAGCACTTTCCTGGGGGCATCTTCTTTGGGGGGGGGCATAACTTAGATCCCCCTAAGCTCAATCTGCACATAATGTGGAGGACACATAAAGGAGCATCAGGGGGAAGTTTAATATCTCTAGCTGGCACAGGGTCCATTCTATACCCTCCTGAACCTCATGAATTGAACCAGTTCATTTGACACCTGAACGTTTGTGACTGTTTGTGGCTCACGAACCTAAATGAACCGCATTCTCCCAGTTCATGCCCATCACTTCCAAAACAGGTTTGATGTGAAATTCAAGCATCCCTAACCAAAATTAAAGATAGATGAAGAAGTCTTAGACCACAGTATGGATATTTCTGAAATTGTACTCACCGGCTGGACAAGGATCACAGAAATAAGACCCTGGGATATTGTGGCACTGTACAGGAGGATTCAGTGAGCATGGGGGTTTAGGGAGGCTACACTCGTCAATGTCGACAGTGCAGGAAGGATTCTCAGGCGAAGACTTCCAGCCAGCATCACAAATACAGCTGTACTTTGGCTGTAAGGTTCAAGATGCCAGGAATTAGGGCAATCATGAGAAAGTCTATGAGTAAAACCAAAGGTGTTCCTAGTAAGCCCTTTTGAACAACGGCTAATTGCAAGCTGGTCTTGAACACATAGTAATTTTGTATCTGCATAGTTCCTTTTTCAATTACTGATTCCATAATTTCACCATGATTTTCCTCCACTGGCAATGAAAACTTAATGTGCGCTAGCAGCAGGACATATTATTAGCATGCTGCGTAAAGGAAATTTGTATCTGACTCAGAATAAAACAGAAAAGAATGACCAGTAATCACAAAAATCAACCCAATCAAAAGCAACCTGCATGGTCCGCTCGCTCTTCAGCAAAAATTTAATCTGCAAATATACCTAGGCTGTTTGTTTTCATCTGGGGAAGTTTAATGAACAAAAATAACCCATTCAAATACATATTCGGAGTAATTTACGTTCTGTACCAGAATAATTTAAAATTCTGCAGGCAGGACGCCCAAAATTGCCTTCTCAGAATATAGTACCTTGAGCACAATAGGGACATTTATATGTTAAATCATCTATAAAGATATGTTGTCGAAGGCTTTATATTTATATAGACATTAAATCAGGGCTCTTTTTGTAGAAATAGCCCAGCAGGAACTCATTAGCATAATAGGCCACACCCAACAGCAGGCACGACATTGCATATTAGCATATTGGGCCACACCCCTGACAGCACAGCTCATTAACACATTAGGACGCACTCCCATGTTACCAGAAGTGTGGTTATCCAGCCACACCCACCTTTTGCTTGTTATTCTGTTTACCTTGTTTGTTGTCCAAACCCAGGGCCTTTTTTCATAGCATGAATTCCTTTGCATGTTAGGCCACACACCCCTAATGTAGCCAATCCTAATGAGTTTCTGCTGTTGGGTGTGGCCTATTATGCTAATGAGTTCCTGCTGGGCGTGGCCAACTTGGGAGCCTGCTGGAACTCCGTTCCTGTGCGTTCCTGCCCCAAAATAGCCCTGGACATTATGCTACTTCCAAACATTGGGTTGGAAAAAAATTGGTATTTTTGTTTGGAAAGTTAGGTGTAATAGATGGCAGGAATGAAACAGAAACTGAGGCTAGGATAAAGGGGATGTAGTATAGATGACATAGAAGAGGGTGAGGATTAGGGGCCCTTGGCAGAAGGCTATGGATATAAACTTTGGTTGTACTTAGTTGTCTGAATCTCTTTAAATAACACCCCTTAACCTTTGCTTTCAGGCAGGGTCTGAATGCAAGATGCTTGTTCGATGTATCGTATTATCAAGTGAAATTAACTCTAGCTAACATTCACCATGGCTGTCCCAGGCCAGAACACCAGTGAGACTGGGGCCACTACACACTTTGAGCAGCTCCACCTCCTTACCTGATTATGTTGCTCTCTGATTTCATCAATACAACGGCCATGCTCACAGAGAGCTGTAGATCCCTGTTGGCAGTCATCAAATTTTGATGCGCAGTGGGGTCCATACGTTTCTGGTGTACAGGTGCAGCTTTGAAAGGAAAAATAAAGTAACAATGTGACTCATCTGTCCATTTGTCCTAAGCTAGGGTTACCATATTTTGAAAAGTAAAGAAGAGGACATATTTCCTGACTGACTACTTCAAACAAAGTGATCACTATGAAAAATCTCATGTTAAATACCCCTACTATTTAAGCCGTGATGATTGCTACTAACGAGGAATATTCCTAACCTTCCAAACCAAAAAGAAGACATTTTGGTCAGTTTTTTTTTAAAAGAGCCCAAAAGAGGACGGACACCAAAAAAAGAGGACATCTGGTAATTTTGCCTAAGTTGGTTAGTTGTTGTAGATTTTACGGGCTGTATGGCTGTGGTCTTGGCATTGTAGGACCTGATGTTTTGCCAGCAGCTGTGACTGGCATCCTCAGTGGTATAACACAGAAAGATGGAGTACTCTCTGTGTCAAGGCACAGACACAGAGATTACTCCATCATTCTGTGTTATACCTCTGAGGATGCCAGTCACAGCTGCTGGCGAAATGTCAGGTCCTACAATGCCAAACGTCAGGTCCTACAATGCCAATACCATGACCATACAGGCCTGAAAATCTTCAACAACTAATGAGCTCCGGCCGTGAAAGCCTTGGACAACTTACCTAAGTTGTTCGGTGAGCTTCCCAGCATGGACCAATATGCTATCTGCATACATTATGTATGTATTAATTAAGTCAGTCAAGGGCTGGATTGGCCTTTACTATAAAGACTCCAATTAGGCTGCTGTCCTGAAGGGCCACTGACAGCCAGGAGCAAGTTGAGCTGATGCATGGGCTACTCAGCTCAGATCTGGCCAGGGGTGTGCACGGGAACAGTGATGCACGAGTCCATCATGACTTGCTAACTGGGTCTGAACCAAGTAGCTCCTACAAGTCTTCTAGTAACTCAACAGCTATCCAGCTCAGCTTGTTCCTTAGCCTTTTTATCATCCTATTGTCCCCTGCAATCCATCAATCGATCAGATAACCTGCAGAATCCCGTAGGCTTAGAACATGTAACTACCTTTACCAAACAAACTCAATAAAGCAACAGTAGCCAACAGATCAGATAGTATCCAAGTCCTGTATTTTGCAGAGGCTCTTGTGCACTTGGGAACACCAAGCATGACCAAGCATTCCAGATCCAGCACTTGGGAGGAGGAGAAAGAGAAGGAGAAGAGTTGGATTTATACCCCGCCCTTCACTCCGAGTCTCAGGGGGGCTTACAATCCCCTTCCTCTCCCCACAACAGACACCCTGTGAGGTAGGTGGGGCTCAGAGAGCTCTTTTGAGAACTGCTCTTGAGAGAACAGCTCCAAGAGAACTGTGACCAACCCAAGGCCACCCAGCCGGCTGCATATGGAGGAGTGAGGAATCAAACCCGGTTCTCCTGATTAGAGTCCACTGCTCTTAACCACTACGCCAAGCCCCCTAACATTTTGCTATAGCATAAGTGGCCTGGCAGAACAAGGCAAATACTCCCTGCCTATGACAGGAACATTCACCTTGTCACATACAGTCTATTTCTGCTCTGAGTTTCTGGTGGCTCTACATAGCCACCAGCTAGAAATCCTTACTGTTAGGATGTGATCCTCACAAAGGGAAGAACCAGAAAGCCCCCCTTGCCAGATAGAAAGCAAAGAAAGCCTGGGTGCCCTCGGTCACTTATCAGAGACTATACAGTAATGGTGGCAGGTATGCAGGCTACTGGCACGGTCCACAGCACCCACCGCAGCCATGGAACAATGACACTGGGTGCATAGTGAAATCTAAAGAAACCACCATAAGTGTCTAGTAGTGCATATTTAGGATAGCATTTCCAGATACTTGAGATTTTGTGGTGGTTAAAGAAAAGTCCACACAAGTCCACCTTAATTCTGAACATACAATGCCTAAGAATGGAAGTAGATTCTGGTGGGGTAGCTGTGTTGGTCTGAAACAGCAGAACAGCAGTGGCACCTTTAAGACCAACAAAGTTTTATTCATAGTACTTTAAGATCAACAAAATTTTATTCACGGTATAAGCTTTCATGTGCTTGCACATGTGAAGAAGTTTGCACACTTAAGCTTATACCACGAATAAAATTTTGTTGGTCTTAAAGGTGCCACTGGACACAAACTGAAAGTGTGTGTGATGCTGCAGCTTATGAGATCTGAGTTACCTTTGGGCCAATTCATTCAATCCGGCAAGCGGCTCATTTCATACTTAGGCTGACTGTTTTTGGACAGTGGTGCACTGAATCATGGTTGGTGGTTATGATGCGGTTTAACCACTGGACAGACCCCAAATTGCATGTGCCAGTGTTGTTAGAAGGCTTTTTGTTTGGCATGGAACAAGGAGACTAGTCCTGCTCTCTTTCTCAACCCGAAGAATTCCTTGCTCAAAGTATGGGGAGAGGGATAGGATGGATTGTGTACAATCCATCGAAAATTAGCCATATGGTTTACAATTTGCCCTCCCATCAGTTCAAGTAAGGTAGCCCCTGGAATGAGATGTATGTGTGCGATTTACAAGGCCATGAAAAAAACTTTAGCACATATGATCTAGCAATATCTTTTTATCTTGCCCTTCCTCTCAAGTCGGTGTTACAATAAGAAAGACAAACTACTGTGAACGACAAATAAACTGTAACATTCAGCAAAACCAGCACAACAGCAGCCCCAAATTAAAACTTAAAAAGTCAGCATACGGTTTTTGTACAGTAACAGACGGTTTCAGGAGTAGCCAGAATGATGCATTATTAACTTTTCTTTGTGCCTCTTGTTCCATTTAGCTGGCTGACTTGATAAATTAAATGCAAGGTAACTTGGGTTACTGTGCACTGCCTCCAGTGAAGTGGTACTGATTAACTCAGATTTCAAAGCTTTAAAGCTTGACTACACACCGCCGTAATAAAAGAGTGGCTTGCATTTGAACAAATTGTTGTTTTCAGACAGTGGGATTTGTTTCCTGGTAAATGGCATATAAGGTGTTAGTCTCTGTAAACACGTAAATGTTTTCCATTCTCCTTCCTCCCACGCTTTAGTCTCAGGCAGAATGAACAAAGCAAAATGGCCCGGTTCAAAAGCAAGGACAGCAGGTTGGCACTTCAAAAAAGGGACCACAACGGCGCAAATAACCAGCCGAGCAGATTTTGAAACTCCACGTCCTGCTGTGATTGAACTCTCTGGACAGGAATAAACTGCTATTGTATTTTATCTGCTCTAGTAAAATTTTAATGTATTGCTGTTTTCAAGATGCCAAGATCAAACCTCTCCAAAGGCAGCAGATTCTACAGGACTAGTCTGATAGCATTCCCAGCTGGGCTGTAAACGAATGAATGATTTGTTGAATGACAACAGTTTCTCATTCCTCATCCTTACATTTTTAAATAGGGAATGAGACACATGACACTGTTTTTGTAACTCACAGTACTTTTCAGAGTAGGAAGTAGCATACAGCTACTTCATTTATTCTCAGACAACGCTGTTATGTATTGGACCAGATGACATAGGCTGACATCTATGAAGCTGCTTTATACCAAGTTACGTCAGTGATAAGTCAAAACCGCTTTGATTCCTCCAGCTAGGTCTGCAGAGTCTCTCTCAAGACATGCTACCTGAGATCCCTTCACTGGAAGCATCAGAGACCTGGAATTATCTGCCTGCAAAGTATGAGCTTCATCATGGAACTATGGCTGCTCTCCAAAGTTCATGCCACAGGACTCTTCTGCTCATTGTTTCTGCTAAAGACAGGCCAGCATGCTTACTCTGTCTTCTGCAATCCTTTAGGTGCTTCTCTTCCTTTTCCTACTTGTATTATACACCTGATAACAGTAAAAGCGTGAAGCATCCATTGTTTTGGAGCTACTGCTGGTGAATATGCTGGAATCCAAATCCTCTCACTGCATCCCCACCATGATGTCACCTAGGTGTCCTATGCATACACATCTGGGGGGGGGGGAACAAAACCTTTTTATCTTCTTGTTCTCATGCAATGGCCTTTTGAGATCCCCTCTACTCACCTTCTTCAATTCACTCAACAATAGAGTTGAACATAAAACTCCTGGATCAGATGGCAATGCAAACATACGCTATACATTGGACAGCATGTTCATTTGCATTACAAATGCCTCTTTTCTGCTTTTACAACTATCAGAAGCAGACAACAACAGCGCAGCAATGGGTCAAAGGCAATCTATCACATTTTTATCCTATCCTTCCTCTAAGGAGGCTAAGGCAGCATGCTTCGTTCGCCTTTCCTCCATTTAGAGAGCCAGTTTGGTGTAGTGGTTAAGTGCACGGACTCTAATCTGGGAGAACCAGGTTTGATTCCCCACGCCTCCACTTGCACCTGGCTGGATGACCTTGGGCAAGCCGTAGCTCTGATAAGAGCTGTTCTTGAAAAAGAGCAGTTTCTGTCAGAGCTCTCTCAGCCCCATCTACCTCACAGGGTGTCTGTTGTGGGGAGGAGAAGGGAAAGGAGTTTGTAAGCTGCTCTGAGATACCTTTGGGTAGTGAAGGGCGGGGTATAAATCCAATCTCCTCCTCCTCCTTTTATCCTCACAACAACCCTTTAAGGCAGGCTGACTGGCCTAAGTAAGCTTCGTGGCTCCGAGGAGATTTGAACCCGGATCTCCTGCATCCTTGTCTAACGCTGTGTCATACTGGCTCTCCATATATATCCCATGCATGAAAATGTTCTGTCAGTCTCCATTTATGGTTTAGATACTGGAAAGCCCATTTTTAAAATATATATATAAATTCTCAGAGAGCACTAAAAAAAATCCTTCTGGGGTACATTTTAGCAACCGAGTAGAATCAGTGTTGCTCGCCACTCATTTGTCCAAAAGCTTGCAGGTGATGACAAAGCTTTGCAAAACCAGAGGCATGCCAAGCAAACATTTGTGTTTTTCCATAGCCAGAAACAAAACACTTTACAGAGGACTCTGGCATGTGATCTCATCTCATGGATAGAGCTTTGTCAGGAAATTATGTTTTGCCCAGCTTGCCACTTCATAATAAAACAACTAACTCTTTCAAACATGATCACTCACTCTAAGCAAGGAGGGCTGATGGAGGACAAATCTTTGGCCTCAAAAGGTGGGGGGGGGGATGAACCAGAGTTGATGTATTTTTACAAGTCTCCACATAAAGTACTCGCCTGACCCACTGCATCATGGGGGGAGAAAAGGGCACACACCTATTCCTCTACCACATAGCCCAATGAATGCATTCATTGAGTCAAGGAAGACAACAGGGGGTAGCGACTTACCCTTTCTGCAGTGTGACAATCCCATAGTGTAATTTCCAACACAACCCAGGAGTGTCATTATGATGCTGGGATGCCGCTCTAGCTTTCACCCCAAACTCTATAGTTCAACTGTAAGTGATATCATGTCATCAGCACAATGCTCATCCTCCCCACCATTTTTATGACATCCCTCCCATGCTGCCCAGCTGAATGGCGGTGGGCAGCAGGGGTGGAGAGCAGGACGTCTCCTTCCAAAGTGGGAGACCTGTTTGCTCTAGTCACAATGTAGAGGGGCCCTGACCGGGATAGCCCAGGCTAGTCCAATCTCATCAGATCTCGAAAGCTAAGCAGGGTCAGCCTTGTCTAGTATTTGGAAGGGTGACCTCCAGGGAGTGCCAGGGTCGTGATGCAGTTGCAGGCAAGGGCAAACCACCTCTGAAGCGTCTCTTGCCTTAAAAACTGGTCTCCCTCGCCACTTAGTGATGCATAACGCTAAAAGAGCTAGAGCCTCTAGCTTCCAGACAATCTTAGGATCTCCTGGCTAGACTATACATACTGCCATACAATAATAATAACAATGTGGAGGGGATCCATACAGAAGATCTGGATTCCAGCATCCCAGGCACATTTTCTAGGGCCAGAACAACGGAAGCTTTGCCCTTTCCCCATGTATCAGGGCACAGGCTCAAGGCAGACACGTCACGTGCAAAAGTGGGCATTTTCTTTATTCTTGCATTTTAGGGCCAAACAAAGTTGAAATGGCAGATCTATGTGAATTCATATGTCCACCCATTCATGTACAAAGCAGTAGTCTTGGTATCAGAAAACAAAACAAAAGGGTGAGGAAAGCTGAACTGTTTTACTGTGTTGTGCACCATTGCTTTATGCATTTTCTTCTCACACGTGAATCTGTCAATTCATATACATGAACCTATGAAGCTGCCTTATACTGAGGCAGACCAATGGTCTATTAGCATTGTCGTCTCTGACTGGCAGTGGCTCTCCAGGGCATCAGGTAAAGGTTTTTCCACATAAACTGCTAGCTGATTCTTTTCACTTGAAATGCAAGGGACAGAACTTGAGCCACAGCCTCTGCTAACCTCTAATGTATTCCTTATAGCATTTACTGATATGTCAATGGCCCTCCCTAGAAAGGCATTATAGAGTTACCTGTAACTGCCTTGGGTGTTTACACATGTAGCTCCATTCTGGCAGCCCAGAGGTGTCCCAGAATAAATCTGGCATTCATTTACATCAACAGAACAGAACGGTCCCTGAGAAGAGACAGAAACACAGCTTATTTCCCAAGAAAAACAGGAACACAATGGAGCTCGCAGAGCCTGTGCACTACTATAAAATTTCAAAAGATGTACAGCATCTGGGTCGCTCGCAGTGGTGTTTCCCTTAATAAACACTAAAACAAATCCCAGCTGTTCAGCTCACCCAGCATATCCCCATATGTGGAAGTATAAACTGATTTCGCTTAATTTAAAGCAAAGAGTAACGGCAATTATAGTGGAAGCAGAGCTCTCCTTGGGGAGTGAGATCATGTACCATTAGCCCTCAAGCTATCGATACCAGATATGCAAAGAAGAACACGTTCTGCAACAGTGCAGCAGGAGATACTATACAGGGGCCCTTTTGTGTCCTGCCTTAAACATTCCACTTAACTTCTATGGAAAATTCAAAGAACGCACAAAGTTCACATCAGTTGCCATGCTTATTGCTACTTTTGTTTTGGGGCTTTTTCTATACGGAGTGCACTGCAATTTTGTAGTTACAGGCACCATCAGTAATCAATAAAACATACCATTTCTGTCTACTGTTTGGACAGTTACTCAGCAACAGAAATTATATGAAATATAGAATTCCAGTGCGTGTAATTGTAAGCAGAGTATCAGATCCACTGAGCAAAAGCAGAAAGTTTGTGGATCCAGTGCAAATTGGTAACAATGCCTCCCCTTCTCAATCCCATCCTAAATAAGCAGTTTAACAAAACGTTACCAAAATAATACCCTATTTTACTTCTGAGATATTGCAAACAGACATATCTTTGCAAATGACACTATAAACGGCTACACATTTTATTCTGAAGGAACACATCCTGTGCAAATGCACTAATTAATATATTATTTCCCTTTAGAATACTCACAAATATTATTCCGCTCCTGCAACAGCTGTGTAAAACACCATGTACTTGTGCATGTGGAGGAAACAAATAATAAAGTGTTTCCTGAGCTGCACAAAATTACATTGCAAATGGGGGAATCACATGTTTGAAGGCCTGCCCAGGAATAAAAACTCTCTGCACATAGAAAACTGGTGCACGAAAGAAAAGGCTGGTTATACATCACTTGTCCTTGACATGTTAGGGTTTTTTTGTTTTATTTTGTATTCTTTTTAGATACAGTAAAGTTCAAGGTGGGTATTCAAATTTACAACCCCCATTTGCAGTTCAACTGGAATGATCTCTGAAAAACTGCACCACATTATTCTGTTGAATGCATACATTAGTTGCAAACTGGATATTTTCTAACTGCTTTCTTTATTTTCTTTATTCATATCACTTCCTTAAGCTCTGACCTGCATGGCCAGGTCAGATCTCAGCAGCTAAGCAGAATCAGCCCTGGTTAGTACTAGAATGGAAGACCTCCAAGGAAGTCCAGGGTCAGTATGCAAAAACAGTGGCAAACAACCTCTCTTTTTCTTGCGTTGAAAACCCCATGAAACCCTATGGAGATCACCATAAATTGGCTGCGACTTGATGGCACTTTACACACATACACACACACACACACACACTTTCTGCCAAGGATCTCAGGGCTGCATACATCATACCTGATCTGCATTTTGTCTTGGATGCTTGACTAGTGCAAGGACTTTCATTCACAGAATATGATTTCCCCCATTTCTTGGCAGCCCAAAATTTCCAGAAAAAGGGCTGAGAGAGCATTTTGGGTTGCCTCTGGGTGGAGATCGCATTCCAAGAGTGAAAATCCTTGTAGCTGTGCAAACTCCAATTGGGATCCAAGCCTTTATCCTCCCAACTATTTTGAGGCTGGTCAGGCTAAGAGAAATTGACTAAAGCAAGGTCACCCAATAAGCCTTCTGGCAGACTGGGAATCTGAACCCTGCTCTCAGACTAACACTTTGACCACTGTACCACACTGGCTCCTGGGAATGGCTTGCCACTGGTTCCACTTTCACTGAAAGTGCCACGATCAGCTCCTTTGTAGATGATTATGCTGCTGATAACAATTGCACTTATGCATACCCTGTAATGAAAGATAATTCATGACTTCTTTACCTGCCAGTTGTTGGGGCAGAGACAAAAGAAAGCATCCAGCAAATTGATGCAGGTACCAGAATTCTGACAAGGGTTGCTACTACAGGCTTTTCTCAAGAAACTCTGAAAAGGCAAACATCCATGTGTTAAGTTAGCATTTCTTATTTCACTGGCCTGGTCTTTTACAAACAACCACAGCAAGGCGTAAAGGATCCATCTGGGTACTAAATTACTTGAACTCAAAGCATGAAGGTAAGAGTGTGTAACAAAAGCTCTACTGGTGGAAACCACATTTCTCAAAAAGCAGAAACATTACATTTTATATCTGTAATCTCTCTCTCTCTCTCTCTCTTTAAGAAAAATGCCTTTTTGAAGATACAACCATGGAGTATGCAACTCAGAATGGGCTACATCATAAACTTACAAACAGTTTGTGATTTATTTAAATATTTTAAACATTTTTATGCTGCCTTTCCACCCAATCAGGGTCCACAAGATGATGAATTTAAAAATATTAAAACATTTGAAGAATTAAAAATGTAGCTGCAATTATAAAATTCAATTAAAAACACATAAACACACAGCATTCGAAGGAGGAGGGCCAATGCCATGATTGGGGGTACAGAAACAAACTGTGAAAACATGTGCAAAAATAATTAATTTTTAAACAAAGTTTTAAGTGTAGTATTTTAAACAAAGCGACTACAATAAGTATATCTACTAAACACAAACAGTAGAAAGATATTCACGTAATAATCAGAACAGCTTGAATCAATGGAAAACAGTCCTAGGACGGTTCCCTGCGGCACTTAAGGAAGCGATGGTCCGTCCTCTCCTGAAAAAACCAACCTTAGACCCGACCGAATTGGCCAACTATCGGCCGGTGTCTAATTTGCCCTATTTGGGCAAACTGATCGAGAGGGCGGTGGCGGTACAGCTTCAGGGCTTTCTGGATGACACTTCTGTCCTGGATCCACTTCAGTCCAGCTTTCGCCCTGGTCATGGGATGGAGACGGCGCTGGTTGCCCTTACTGACGACCTCCGGAGGCATCTGGATCGAGGTGGTGTGGCGGCACTGGTGTTGTTAGATCTGTCGGCTGCGTTCAATACGGTCGACCACCAGTTGTTGACCCACCGCCTCACCGACGTAGGGATACAGGGGCTTGCCCTTCAATGGCTTGCCTCTTTTCTCCAAGATCGGGGACAGAGAGTGGTAATAGCGGAACAGCAGTCCCAGAGACACCCGCTTGAATGCGGTGTGCCTCAGGGGGCAGTGCTTTCCCCGATGCTTTTTAACATCTACATGCGCCCTCTCGCCCAGATTGCCAGGAGGTATGGGCTGGGTTGTCATCAGTATGCAGATGACACCCAGCTCTATCTGATGTTGGGTGGCCGGTTGGGCTCCGACCCGGAAGATCTGTACCAGGGACTACAGGCCGTGGCTGAGTGGCTCAAGCTGAGTCGGTTGAAACTAAACCCGGCGAAGACGGAGGTCCTGGGCCTGAGTCGGAA